TCAACGTCGATTTCCACATCTGTTTTCATGACCTCGTTTCATTCATAAAATAACAACAACCTTATTTGGCAAGATAAGTTAGAAATTACCACCCACTTATATAACTTTATTTCCTCTATCATAGAGATTTGTTGTACATGAACAATATTCCTGCGCATTTTGCCATTTGGGAAAAATAAACGACTTGTAATTACAGATTTTCCGCGATGAAATATTTCATACAATTGTTCTTTGACATCGTAGCCAAAAGCACAGGGGATAATAAACTACGTACGGATTTCTATTGAGCACTACTTCCTATGTGCAACTTCAAAAGTTTTGGGTAGTTCGACGATCATTTAAGGTTTTTCTGGTCATATTTTTGGTATTCCAGAAATAAAAGTATTAAAAAAATGTCCAATTAGTTATAAATAACATAATAGCCAGCTAGATAATAACAATGGCACGTATTTCAGCATTTATTGGGTAGAACACAAATCTAGGGTGCTCGCATAAGGCAGCTTAACTGCCTAAAAATTGCCTAAAATGATAGAATACAGAAATAATGAATCCCTATTCAGACCCTAATAATCTGACGATGACATTTAGCTTTAGGACAATTATGGGCATGTGATACAGCTTTAGAACCACAGTGATTTTTTTTTACAAAAGTTCACAAGCTATTTGTAATAAAAATTATATCTTCATGTGCTAAATTTAAAAGACAAATGGGTTTGAATTATTCGACATTTACTTATAACATTTCGGTTTCTCGGACATTTTTGTCCTTTGAACAGACATCCTTAACTTTTTTGTTTCAAAAGATAAAGATATGCGGATTTCGGTAAAGAGATTAGGAATATCTTCGTTATAAAATTGGGCTCTACATTTGTGTAACAATTCTTTGTTAATATTTATTTTTTGTGAAAAGAAATTGATACAAGAAGAAAAAACGGTATTTTTGTTGTATATTTATCTATAGTTAAAAAAAAGTCGGTAATTTCTTCATAAAAGTTGCAACGAATAATCTTCATACAGTATCAAGCAAAATGTCATGTCTTAAATGAGGGGGCCATAACTGATAACACTTTTTCCTCAAAAAAATGAAAAAGTAATTATTTGGATAAGAAAATAACCCAGATATTTAGATATATTAGAATAAAAATATTTTTAAAATTTTTTAAAAATCATTTAATATTCATCGGTTTATGATTAAATGAAAAATATAGAAAATTGTTAAGTTGTTTTTAAGGAAGGAAAATAATGTTTGTCCCGAGAAAAAAGCCCCCCCCCCCCCCTATAAATGATCATTAATTTACCTAAGTGGGGGCTTAAATTTGGAGACCGATCGCGAGGCCTGACTGCCATAAACAACAGATAACGAACAGCAAACAGTGGATACACCAATTGATATGTATGAAAGACAACGGCGGACACAAAATGATTGCACTGAATAATTTCAACTACCATTGAGATCGTTTTTTTCAAATCTCCTTATCAAATTAGAAATGCATTTTAAAAAACCTTGGGATATCTTTTACAGTTTGGAATTGGAATTGGAATTAAAAATTGCATTTCCCAAAGAGTTTCAGGTTAAACCCCGAGAATCTCACCTCCTAGAAATTTGAAGTGCCAGGATGTTTGAAAATATGTATGAATTTTATTACATACTTGAAATTGTATTAGGAATATAAAAAGATTCAGTATGTTTACTGTACAAACAAACAACAGACACCAAGTGATGGATACAATTGTGGCTTATATTGTTTAATTCATTTTTACTGAGAGCAAAACTTGATTGATTGATTATTCAGTGGTTGTTTAAACGTCCAGTGGCAAAAATTTCATGCATATTCAAGACGAAAAGTCGTTTCAGAAGTATATTATGAAGTATTTGGTATTACAAATGTTTAAATTTTCTCATTATTTGGTAAATTTCATTTTCTTAGCTATTTCTAATTAATTTGTACGAATCAGATTTTTCTGACAAATTATATATTTTGCTCTAAATTAACTCATACGATTCTGATAATATAAGGAACATTGTAACTTAAGTAAAAAAAAAAAGATTATGATTGTTTAATCAGTTGTTATGTAAGTTCGCTCGTGTCAGTCGGATCACTGATTTTCGGCAATATCAAGGAAAAACCGGCACGTTCCAAATATTGTGATTCTTTTTTTTTTTTAATTGGAATTTATGTAATAAAAATCTATCTATCTCTACCATAGTATGAAAACAGAGTACAAGTAACACGTCCTTTCTAGTCCTTAGTGGCATATTATAAGTCCTTAGCAGTGTTTAGACGTACAGGCAGAAAACAGTAGAAGGCCACCAATGGGTAGAAAATCCCGCACCGAAGGCGTTTTTCAGCTGGTCCCTAAACAAAAATGAATTTTAGTTCAGTGATAATGGACATCATACTAAACTTCGAAACATACAAATATTTCCTAAATTTCGGAACGTAAACATATGATAATTAATTAGTTAAGGTTACAAATTTAGGCAGATAAAAAGAAGGGGGGGGGGGGGGGGTCAATGCATTTGAATGGGGACATATGGTTAAAACCACCCCTTTTATCCTGGGTTGAGAACCCTCTTTTTAAAAATGGCTGGAATCGCCACTCTTTAAAACGTAGCAATTTATAAATTATTTATATTAAGTAGAATTATAAAATCGATGAGTTTTATAATTTAACAACACTCATTGATATTGGAAATACTATACTACAATTAATTTATTTAATACATGGAGTGTTTAGTAAAACTGTCGACCAATCAACACAGAAAGCGAGATATCTAAAATTTGTATACCCTTATAGATTTTCATTATCATACATCAATTTTAAATGCAATTCCAAATAAAATGGCTTTGAGAACCGTGTATTAAGCGCTTAGACGTTGCGCACGATGTTGGTACTACTTAGCGTTACACGACGTTCCGCATAATGAAGCGATTTCGACGATTTCAAAGAACGTTTCAAGCGTTCAAGCTTATAATTGATGAGGTCAATTTACTGTTGTGAATTTGGTAACCGATTTTGGTTTGTCTGAAAATGCATAGTTTAACAAATAAAACTCAAAGTGGTCGTACACATACTGTTTTTAATGAATATTCATTTATAGGAGTTGTCAGTCATACCAGGCCATAATTGATCATTTTACTTTTGGCAGCAGTTTGCATTAATGAATCATACATTATATTTCCAAAGTTATACAGATTTCTTTTTAATATAAATTAGATTTTGATTTTATTTTCCCTTTTTAATGCATGTTTATACATACTCCTTTTGTTGCATTTCTTTCCGTTCCCGTTTCCTTTCTATATTTTATCATTTCCCGATGCTTTTTTTTGTCGCAAAATTTCTAGGTAGTTAAACATTTTGGATTCATGTTTTCTCATTTCAGTATTTTTGTGGCATTATGCATATCATTTGTTTTGTTATAATAGCCAGCAATGGTTTTTCTCTATTCTATTTTATTAACAAAAAAATCATGCATGTTGCTTTTGATGATTTAAAACTTGCAGATAGACAACGTTCCTTGAATAAAGCAAATGTCATGAATGTGCTGAAAAAAACTAAGATCCCGATATTTTTTATATCAATCTCATTTGGTCAACATTTGAATTTAAACTTTAACTTTTCCTTTATCATACATTGGTTATATTATAACTTATATTTTTATTTTCATTCGAATTAAACTGGAAACAAATAATTATGAAATAAAATTAAAAACCCGAGCATGACATCAATTACGTTTTGCGAACGTTGGGACAAAACGGCTATACTTTTTGAAACGATATAAACATCTTGTTGCCTATCGAAAAAATGTTAAACACTATATTGTTTAAAAAGAAAAAGAAAAAAACTTTTACCGCCAAGTTTTATTTTCATTGATCTAACTATGCTTACTTAATATACAGCCGGTTAAAACCTCAATTGTATAGAAAATACAGCGTTTTTTTCGTTGGGACAAGATGGCTATACTTTTTGAAGTCATTGCAATAGAAACTATACGCATGGTTTCCGGCAAAAAAATTCATGAACCAGGAGAAAAGTTAAAAAAAACTTTCAAAATATCATAAATATTTTTCCTCTCAGCTTTTCCAATTTCACGGTATAAATGCGCAAACCCGATATATGCTTACCTTGCATATGCTTGGACATTTTTCAGACCGTTTTCAAAAATAACATTTTCCGGTTTACGGTTTCAGTGATATTGATTTTGCTTTAACACGCGAATAACAATAACAATAGCAATACTCTTGTGAAGTTTTACGATGGTCAGAAAAAAAATACTGTAGGAAAGAAACGGAACTCCGATCTTTTGCACACAAAATGTAACGTTGGACATTACGTTTTTGCGTAAAAATGGGATAATTAAGTGTTATAATTCTTGATATTTTAAATTTCGGTTCCTTTTTTCTATACTTTTAAGTCTAATATAATAAATTCAACCAAAAATCACTATATTTTATCGAACTGACCAGTCTACGTATTTATTTTCATGCTAATCTATAGCAAAATGGAATTCGTACCAACATCGTGCGCAACGTCTTATCGTTCATTCGTCAATGAATCATTCACTGTGCGTGTATCGTACGTGTATCGTGTGTTCATCATTCATCGTGCATCGTGCGTGTATCGTGCGTTCATCATTCATTTTTCGTTAATCCTCCGTGTAACGCTCATCGCTCATCGTGCGTGTATCGTGTATCGTGCATGTATCGTGCGTGTGGTCAGTTTGAATTTTAGAAGGTCTGAATGGGAGGATACACAGAACCATAAATCTACAGTATAGTATGGGAGGATACACAGAACATAAATCTACAGTATAGTATGGGAGGATACACAGAACCATAAATCTACAGTATAGTATGGGAGGTTACACAGAACCATAAATCTACAGTATAGTATGGGAGGATACACAGAACCATAAATCTACAGTATAGTATGGGAGGATACACAGAACCATAGGCCTCCTTTGACTATTAAGGGCAAACTAAAGATAAACTCAATAATTATAAACAACTTTTAATCAGACTCTTTCTCATGATCGTATTCACTCTCAACATGAAAATAATAGTACAAGTTTCAATGATTTCAAATTTGCCATTGTGACAAAAGAAAATTATTACCATCAACGATCATCAAACAAATTTCACAATATCATATATGATTTTTTATTACAAGACAGTAAAATTTTACACAAATCTTCTCTCTGAGAGAGAACTGGGAAAACCTGTCTTGCATGGCAAAGTTATAAATAAGTTTAATTTACACCTCATAAAAAATCCATTGAAAGTAATAATCTCGTTATAGACCAAAACGTGCATCTTTCCCATCTTTGTGTAAGCTTGTGCAAGTTTCTATTGTGTGTAATTATAAAACTGGTGTTCTATCACCTCAATTTCAAGGAAGAATTACGGATTAATTTGATTGGTTGTTGTTGTTTGTATAAAGTCCATCTATTAAGGACAATAGAAACACTTCAATCTGATCTTGAGAACAAGAGTCAAAAGTACAATAAAGTTCCAAATGTATGTTGATCAGATATTAAATAAAGTTTTAATTGTATTTTCAAACAAAGTGTAACATTAGCTTTTTGTTCTCTTTAAAAATGTAATAGTGTAAAAAAAAACTATGGATGAATCAAATTCACTTTACAAGGAAAATATTATAAATAAATAATCTCAATCATCTTTCTACTTTCTCAGCAACTCTTAAATCTTAAAATTTTAAATCCAAATAAAAGTCTATCACATTAAATTACTTCCTTATTTTAACAATACACTCACACATCACTTCAGAATAATGGAATAGTCTAGTGCTAACCATTAAAAAAGTTAATACAGGTTTTACCATATTTTGTCTGATTATTATATTTAAAAAAAAAGAAATTTTAGTTATGTTTTTACATGTAAATGATCTCACTCAATCACAGTTATTTGTTGTATTTATATGTAAAAACACATTTTCCTCAAAAATACAATATAAATGTTCCTTGACAACAGTTAAAATATTAATGGAAAATAAAAGTCCCATAACATAAAATCTAAATGAAATTAAGTACAATGAATGATATTTTGTTTTCCATTTGTCTGCTTAATAAATGGCATTGCAACTGTTACTCCAACCACTGAATATTGCACATTTAAAACAGAAATAAATGTATTCATTCTAATCTCCACCTCTGAAGGAGATAGGGCAGTCACAACAATACATGAAGTGGAGTTGGCTGTCGATTCAATTTCTGAAGCTTATGAATAATAGGGGACGACCATTTAATATTTTAAGGGTTGGGGCAGGAGGATTTTTTACGGATAGACTTTATTTTCATATGTTGCTACGCACACTTATTTTTTTTTCCATGATGTGAAAATTTCTTTTCAATTTTGTTCACAACTGTTTCCTGCATTTTGAGTTGCAGAATATTTATTTTCAATCTGTCTTATGCAAGGTTATTTATTTTTTGGCTCTTACCAGCCCAGGATTTTTGTTTTCAACATCATCCTCCAAGAAAATAACAATGGTCGTTCCCTTAAACATGTTAAAGACTGTGCAAAGAAGCATGCAATTATCTAAAAATGTGTAGTTAATTTCTATTTGAGTATAAAGGCTATTTAAAACTTTTAAAAGTAACACCATTTGTAACATTACTTAAAGATTTTGATCAAACAAAATAAATTCAGGCCATAAACATCAAATAACTAATTTCTTTGTCAAATTTTTTGTCAGAAAAAAAAAGAGAGTAAAGGAATAGTATTATTTAGTTCTTGAAAGAAGGCAATCATATACTTAACAGCCCAAAAAGAAGAACCTTTGTAGTCGCTAGTCTGTATCTAAAGTGTGTCTTAGATTTGATCAAACTCACCAGTATCATTGACAATGGTATGACTGACTGTTAAAATCAACTTTTATTTGATGGTGTACACAGTATCTATAATATGTAATAAAAAATTCGTAAGGGTTCCGCGGAACCCAGTGTCTCGCCTACTTTTGCTGTTAATCGCAGGCTCAACAAAAATGAGGAAAAAAATTAATAAAAATATTCCTTTCTATACCATCTTTTGATTGTAAGTAGCTTCTGTCCAAGTTTGGTACAAATCCAGGATAGTTTATGAATCTAATAAATGTTTTAAAAACTTAAACTGCAGACTGTATGTAATGTTAACTGGAAGAAAAACTAAGTCCATTTATAAGTAAAATACGGAAAAAATTGAACAAAATTTTAACAAAATTTCCTTCTAGATACTAGCTTTTAATCATAAACAAGCTTCTGTCCAAGTTTGGTACAAATCCAGGATAGTTTAAGAAAGTTGCTAAAATTTTAAAAACTTTAACCACAGAGTGAATGTAATGTTAACTGGCAGAAAACCTAAGTCCATTTATAAGTAAAATACGGAAAAAATGGAATTTTTTTTTTACAAAATTTACTTCTGGATACTATCTTTTAATCATAAACAAGCTTCTTTCCAAGTTTGGTAGAAATCCAGGATAGTTTAAGAAAGTTATTAAAATTTCAAAAACTTTAACCACAGAGTGAATGTAATGTTTCTTGGCAGAAAAACTAAGTCCATTTATAAGTAAAATACAGAAAAAATGGAATTTTTTTTTTACAAAATTTACTTTTGAATATTATCTTATGATCATAAACAAGCTTCTGTCCAAGTTTGGTAGAAATCCGGGATAGTTTAAGAAAGTTATTAAAATTTCAAAAACTTTAACCACAGAGTGAATATTTGTGGACGCCGCCGACGACTACGACGACGACGGAATGTAGGATCGCTATGTCTCGCTTTTTCGACAAAAGTCGAAGGCTCGACAAAAACAAAGACCGGTTCTCTTTCTTTGGAAACTAAAATAAAATTTATACCAATGGTCAAAATTAATACTGAATAATTTCTTTCAGACTTCTTAAATGCAATTTAAAAATGTTACCAGTAAAAGTTCAATTGAATGAGTTGTTTAAACTAACAACCTACTGACTGTTGAAGATCATAATGGTAATACATTTGTTTGCCCCCCAGTTAATACTGTATACATGTTTACCTTTATTTTATGACTGTATAACTCATGAAAAGAAATTATTGTACACAATAGCATCTGATCAAAGTACATCTGATCCATTTGATGCAAATTGTACCTTCTACTTTATAGGTGACATTCTGTCTAACACCAAGTCATGTAAGCTTTCTTGCACTCTTGGTTTACCTGGGCATTTACAGCTGTAACTCAAAGTATTACTTAACCAAACATTCAGACCAACTGACAGCCCACTAAAATTGGTCTTGTACAATTTGAAATTATTCATATTTTTGTACAAATCTATTTCTGCATCACTAAACATACAATTCAACCTTTATACATGTTCTGTGCAGCAACTCAAACAATGTGGAGAAACTTAAATGAGATGTACAAAATACATTTCTATCATTCACACAAATCCATTTAGGTATTTTAGCTATATCTGAGACAATTTCCATTTATACATTTGTAACGAAGCCTGTTATCAAGCTTAATAAATAACAGACAAAACTATGTATAATTTAAAATCTTTTACAAAAATCTATAATTTGATTGTTTGAAAACATGATCATCAATAAAATAACAATTTTCATTTAAAGATGGTTAAACAATTGGAGGCCTATTTGAATTTGCCCCATAAAAATCAAATAATCACAATTGAGAATAGCTTTTTAGTTGAATTTTTGACAATAAAAACAACCAGTTTGAGATGTGCCATTTGTATAGAAGTTTAAAATCTAAGATATATATGGTCTGGATGGGGGTCTTTCATTTCTTTACTCTTTAACTTTTTAAACTATTTTTCTCTTTTCTTTATTTATTTTTACTTTCATTCTCTATTCTTTATATTTCAGCACCCCATTATTCTCCATTTTTTATTTTTTTTGCCTATTTTTCTCTATTCTTCATATTTTTTGCCCTTTATTCTGCATTTTTTACCCATTATTCTCTACTTTGTAAACCCTATCCAGACCCTCATATATAGCAGGAATTAGGCAGGGCCTATAGAATATTGATTGTCCATCAGAAATAATTGACAAGCTGACTCCTTGTATAATCAGCAATCCCTGATGACTTCGTTATAATTACAAAGCTGTGATTTAAACAAGTGAATTATAATGCTTCCAAAAAGCATTTTGATTATTTTTGTCCTTCAAATTGTAAAACTTTATTATAAATAAACAATATCCATGATATCACCATAAAACAAATCTTGTTGACAAAAAGATCTTTCAAAATTATTCAATTACAACATTACTTCAAAACTGAATTTCTTATTCAGAAAAAACATGATAGAAGTCTTAAACTTTACAGAATATATACAAAAAAGAAGCTCCACAAAGTCAACCATTAAAAACACTAAGAAAACATTGGCACTATGCACAGTAGCAAAATTTGAATAGAAAGTATTTCAATTAATTTTAAAAAGTCAAATATTAGAACTGAATACAAATATTAAAATTCTCATTAAAATGTTTGTCAAAAACTATACAGGAAAATCAAAATAAGTAAAAATCAAGTTAGTATGACCTTGTATATATAACTTAAGGCAAATTATACACAATTGTGGAATATTTAGAATTTTGATGAAATTTGCTATGCATTTAGAACTTAAGCTTGTTGAACTACATCTGAATATTGAAAAAAATGATGTTTGTAGCTTTTATACTTCCAGAGACACAGTCAATTAAAACCTTTAGTACGTGTTAGAAAAGACTTAGTCAAAGATAAGTAAGTAATCAGAAAATGAAAATCTATTTATCACTTAGTTGTGGATAAAGTGCAGATAGAAAAACATAAATGAATGAACAGACAACTTGTCAAGCATACAGACAGACACACACAAAAATCACTATATACCCCTAAGCCTATTTAAGCTAGTACAGGGTATAAAAAAGACAGTAAAGAATTTGAAACTAAAACAGTTGCATCTGTAAATTGCAATTTTTAAAAGTTAATAGTCATTTAAGAAATAAATCAGGAAAGCTGTTTAAAAAGGAAATATTTATAATGATGCATAAGACTTTTGATTGCATACTTTATGTACAGACAAAGCATAGTAGCTGTTAGATTTTTCACAGCATATGGTGGCAATGGAAAATGGCACATTGTGGATATCCACTACTTTTATTGGATTGCTGTCACAGCTGCCCGGCTCCCATTGTAGTGACAAGACACTTCAAAATACATTAATGCAATGAACCTGTCAGAACATGCTGTTATTGTTCCATTACCAAGCCACCATGGAAGTTTTCATGGAACAGAATTTGGTACCCATGACTGGCCATGATACATCAAACATACAAATTTAAAAGGTTCCAACTGGAAACTACAAAGGATTATCCCCATTTTAACTTAATTGTTCCCTTGGTAACTAAGAAGAAAGAAATAGACTACTGATAATCCTGCATTCCCTGAAAATTTTTAGCTAAAAAATTAGGACAAAACATGAGCTGTACATTTCAATTTCAGTGAAGATAAATCATAAATAACTATCAACCTGGTTGACAGAACTTTTGTATCATCATATTTACCACCATATTTTGGTTCTCTACATGTACCATAATGTCATCACTTCCCAAGTACAACCCGTTAATTCAGAATCTTTAAAAAGCAGTAGGCAAAATATAAATGCTATCTTTTTCAGAACTCAATCTCCACAGAAGAAGCAATAAACAGTAATGACTTTAAATTTTTGGTTAAGATTTCATTGGAGTTTTAAATCTGTTAATATATAAAACTCAATGGTCAAAATTTCCAAATCACCCGTATAAAATACTAATACCAGAACGGTGATTCATTTTACATGTACATGTATATTACCCTGATCATCAAACAGCATCAAAATTTGCAAATGTGTGAAAATCTGATTAAACAATGCAAAAATCATACAATCAGATTTATCTTTTGTTTTGCAAGATGTCTTGAAATTGCAACCATCCAAAGTATCCTTAAGCTATCACACTGACATTTTTATCATTATTTTTAACAAATTTCAAAAAGTTTACTTCTGAAACACAATACATTCTTGCTGCTTTTTTCAATATTGTGTATTAGTTGAATTGTTTAAAGATATTTTGGTCATGTGATTTATCAGACAAAATAGGTGCTTAAAAAAAATTTGTGTGTGAACATACAATACATGTAAAAGAATGAGAAGACATAGTTTGTGACCTTAAAAGTACACTTTAGCGAAGGTATATTTTGCTTTTTTCACCTGTCCACAGTTAAAACAGTCTGTGCATGCATCCTATCTATGTATTCAAGTTTTGATTTCTTCCTATGTAAATATAATTGAATAAAAATGAGTAAATGTTCATTTTAAAGAATTGTACTTGCAAAACTTAGGATTAAACAATGAAAACACTCTAACTGTGGACAAGTGGAGAAAGCTAATTCCACCTGAGTATTTTTAATTACAATACCTCTTTGCACTCGTTCATTCTCACAACACACATAATTTTATATATTACTTCATGAAACAACATTTAAAGAAAAGATAAAAATTAAATAACCTTTCCATTAACTTTCTGTCGGCTCAGGTGAAACAATCACCTGAATTACATTGTTCTTTGGAATTTTTGCATCTTCAATGCGTATTTTATCAGACAACAATCGTCCAGAGTAAAACCATCTTTGTCTTGATGGTGGGACACCTTCTTCCTCCGACAATCGGAGTTTAAGTTTCATCACAGTATCAGAAGTCCTCACATAGAGTTTGATATCTTTAGTATGATTTGATAGTCTGAATTTGAGAGGGATTTCCAGCCCTGGTGAAGCATTCTCTGAGTCCAGCCCAGCATCACTTTCACTTGTCTCTTCTAGTAAGTTTGTCGGAGCACTTAAGGTGTAGACAGGAAGTTGGTATCTGTTTCCCAACTCATCATAACTGTCCATCAATGTTCCTGTGACAGAAAAATATATTTTATACATGCAGAACAGTTTCTTTTAACAATGTTTAACAACCTACATTTTACTTTCAAAATCTTCACAGCAGATAATTTTGTTAAAACTTCACTCTTCATATGCTTTTTATAGGAAAAGGCGACATAAAGAGGGGTAATATTGTTTCACTGGGTCAGTCTGTCTGTCATCTTAAGGGGTTCATGGTTTGTCCACATAAATCAAACAAAAAGGAAGATTTTTTTCTTTTGCAGAATTTGTTTACACATATTATTGGTGTGCAAATTGTGAGGATTTAATTTTTGTGAACTAATCAGAAAATAACAATTAGTTAAATGTAGTTATATTTTTCATTTTGGACATATTGTGCACTATTTCTCAGATAAACTACTATTTCAATTAATTAAAATGATTTTTTCTTTGCACAATTGTTATGCACATATGTACTGAAGGAATTTGATTTTAGATAAGTAAATTATAAACAAAATGATTGTTACTTGGAATTGTACTTAGAAAATTATTGTTCACATTTGCATCTATTGGCTCAACTCCTAACCCAGTTTCTAACTACAGGGGATATATTTGTAAAATATTTATTCGGCAAATTAAATTCTTATAATTGATAATCAGCACTGCTGTCATTAGGGAATTGTGATTAAGTACTTACAGAACAAACAGTTACCCTGCATAATGATGATCATGAAGAGGATAGATGATCTTTAATAGTGCAGGGATACAGGTGGTCCCCTCTAACTGGTAAATGACTTCATAAAGGTGCGCATAATTGAAGAGCTTTTTTCGGTGAAGGACATAATTCAAAAGTGGTCTATTGAATTTTGTCAGCAATTACAACAAATGAAGATAAACACAAAAAAAAACCTTCTTAGTGAATATCTGTTAGGATGAGGGTTTCAATCGTGATTATTTCTTAGAATCTGTTAGTCAAATGCTTTTGTGACTTGGGGGGAATTCTTCAAAATTATAATGAATTTACTGTCTCATAATTGCTGTATTACTCGGGCCAAAAAAATTAATACACGTGTTTCCGCTAACTTACCTACCCTAATTTTTAGTGCCTACAGCTACCTAACACTTTTTATGGCATTTTTGAACTAGCACTGTTAAAGTCAAGACATATTCCCTAGTAGTAACCAGCTAAAAAATGTTTAAAATAAAATGATATTGCCTACCTACCTACCCTATTTTTTCCCAGCACGTCGACGTTAGCAGAAACACATGTATTATTTTTTTTGGCCTCATGAAAAGCAGATGATGCGAGTCTGCATAACATGTTTAATTAGATAATATTTAAAGCATGGTTGCATACCAGAGTTTTACCACATCAAATCACCAGCAATCACTTAACAAGGGCAAGAATAGCCCTGAATGTTAAAAATAAATGAGATAAATTACCATGTGGTAAGGATATGTTAGCACCATCTATTATTGCCTGAGCTAAACCATGGTCCCCTGTCTCTAATGCATATGCAGCAGCTTTTAAAGCATCCCATATTTCTTTTCTGCCTTCAAACGCTGGTGCTGTGTCCCAAAACTCTTCTCGCTTACTTCGAAGCTGTGTTTCTGTCAGTGGAATGTCACTTTTCCATTTGGGTTTTTCAGGTTTCAACGGTTGATTTCTTCCAATTGAAACTATAAACAAGAAAATATTAATTAAATATACCAAAACATCTGACTTAGTTACATGTATCACCAAAATCATACAAATGCATGCTTTCATGCACTTTTCATGCACTTTTTTACACAGATGATGCCCCCGCTTGCATATCATATAGTTATAAAGGGACATAACTGAAGAACAGTTAAAGTGACACTACCCAAATTCAACTTGATCTGTGTTTTATCAGTGGAAGTCAAAATTAAACATTGCATTGCATAAAGCATTGATTGTAGTAGATTCAGCTATAATCATGGACAAAGGAAGATACTCCAATTTTAAAAATTACTTGATATTTAGAAGAAAATAAAAATTTTGCAATTTTTCCATTTCTAAAGGGGCTGTGTTTTGTGGTAATAAGCATTGTATATAAGTTTCATAACATTTGGTTGAGGCAAACTAAAGTTAGAGAACGATAACGATAAATTCAGCAATTTTCCATTTGTAAAGGGGCATAACTTAAAGTGACGCCACCAAAATTCAAACTTGATCTGTGTTTTGTGGTAATAAGCTTAAGCATTGTGTATAAGTTTCATAACATTTGGTTGAGGCAAACTAAAGTTAGAGAACGGAAACCAATTTTGGGACGTCCGTACGTACGGACGGACATGGGTAAAACAAAGCCCCCTCCGCTACGGCGGGGGCATAAAAATTTTTAACACATAATAGACAGGGTTGGCAAAAACCTGGGTTTTATGAGTATTGCCCAGCCCAGTGGGAAATACTGGGAAAACCTGGGTTTTACCGGGTAATACTGGGTAATATGAAATACTGGCCTGTATTTTAAAGAGGATTCAGTGATTAATCACAAATGCAATACATTAAAGTCGGAGAAATTCAATTTTTATTTTTAATAAATATAACTAATATTAAGAATTAACAATTCTATGTAAGGCAAATTACTTTTAAACATTTTTTGTTCATTAATAAAAATGTTTACTAAGTCTTAGCATATGTTTATGTACATCACTAATTAATAAGTAATTATTCAGATTATAATACAGATTTATTTATATTACAATAATCAGCCTTTTGATTTCTATAAGTGTTCATAGCCTGTCCCCTTAGGGTGTTTATTTAGCAATATGATTGTATAACAATTAAAAGTTACAATTCACTTAAACACTGCAATAAAACGTATTTTTTCAACTTGGATTTAATATTGAAACAAAGCTTGGAAATTAACAAGGTATCCTGAAATGTCCAGAACTTGTTTTCTGCCTACATAGAATAAGTGGAGAAAAGGAAGAAATTGAATTTTCAATCATCAGGAATGACTCTTAATGGTTATCTGTATAAAATGTATATATTTAGCTATAATACTATTAAACTATAACAAGTCTTTACTATTTTTGTGTAAAAATAAGCTGGAAAAATCATATTACCCAGTATTGGCCAGTATTACCTGTTTCTAAGAGTATTGCCCAGCCCAGGAAAACCCGGGTTTTCTTTTCCCGCCCGGGTAATACTTTACCAACCCCTATAATATATCATGTCGATTGATGTATACCTGTACATTTTTTAGTTTTTGTCAACATAACTTTTTTTGGTTTAATTAAAATCAGACCACAACTCTAACAGGTCTTACAGGTAAAAGCCTTTTTAAAAGAGACATTAGCTTGGATTTAGACAAACAAAATAAAATTTGAATTATAAAAGCAGAATATTGAATATATATATACATGTATGTACAACCAAGTCTAAATTGAAAACAACGTTCAAACCTACGATTGCATTGGATAAAAACTGCAATTTTAATACATGTGCATGATATATATGTATATATTTCTGTATAAGCAGTCAGTTTGGTTCAATTTTGTCAAAATAAGCTAAAACACATTGCTAATAAAATGTATTATTGGATTGCAAGTCAATAATTCAACCTCATTTGATTTATAATCATACAACCATATACAAAATAGTAAAGAGGCCCTTCACAGGGTTTTTGTTTGACGCAAGTGTTGTATGTGAGAAAATATAAGAACTACTATCAATTCATTTTTTCATTATTACAAAAATAAAATGTTTAATTTACATGTATGAAAGTCTTATCTTTAGGATTATAGTTTAATCTCCTGTCATGTCATATACGAAAACAAATCATACGAAGTGGAATTAAGTACACAATAGGATGGAAAATGTATTTGAAAGTTAAATAGCAGGAATGGTTGTTTAAAAATTAACCCGAAAGTAATCTATGTACAATGTTTGAATTCCAATTGATAACTGACACCTTCTGAGAGAGAGTGGTCTTGTTTTAAAAATTACCTGTTTATCATAAGTCGAAACCAAATTGACAATGACATGGCAAAAAAATGAAGAAAAGACAAACAACAGTACACAAAACACAAGATTGAGCAACAAGAACCCCATAAAAAAAACCAGGGGTAGTATTAGGTGCTCCCAAAGGGTAAGCAGATCCTGCTCCACATGTGGCACCCGTTGTGTTGCTCATTTAAGTAAATACCTGATGATAGGTCTAATTTGGTAAGTCACATTCGAGGAAAAGAGGACAGGATTGTGGTTACAACATTTGAAACAGATCCTTCATCATCTGTGAAACAGATTATCCATAGTAGTCAACCAATTCATGATAATTTCTGTAAAATTTTCGAAGGGATGATTTCAACTTAACCACTTGGTTCAATAGCTTCCTTGTAAGTAGTAGCAACCCTCTATCAAGGAAATCATGATATGAAATGCAAGTTATGGAATATCGTATCACCAGGAAGATACATGTATATACTCCATATGCAGGTGCTGCTGGAATGTTGCTGCATAGAAATGAAAAGTTCACAATAAGAAGCTGAAATCCTCTCTTTTGTCGTAAAGTTTTGTTCTCAACTGACCCTTATTGTCAATTTCTAGATGTAAGTCAAAATATAAAGCAGACTTAACTGTATCTGTTGTATCCTTAATTTCAAGTTCGATGGGATAGACAGAGGCGGATTTAGAGGGTTTTCCAGGGGGCCTGGGGCCCCCCCTTTAGTGGAAAAAATTTGGTTGATTATATAGGGAATCACTGAAGCATGACTGGAGGGGGCCACCTCTTAGGCAGTCAGTGGGCCCCCTTTATGATAATTTCTGGATCCGCCACTGATAGATGCGTTCAACATAGTCACCAAACTTTGAATTATTTAGTGAGAGGACATCATCTTTATAGCGGTGATGTTAAAGGATAATGCTAGCTTCTTTGCATTCTTCCTAAGAATCTTCTGTATGAAGTCAGCCTCATACATGTATGAATAAAGGAACAAGTCAGCAAGAAAGGAGCACTTTGGTTCCCATGGAAATGCAGATTGTTTGTTGAAAAACTTTCTAGTCATCACCTTTTATAAATATTTATTGATAATTACAATTTCACACTTTCACACGTTGTTATTCAGGTTGGTGAAGATCCTCATACATGGGGACTTTTAAGTTTGCCCCCCCCCCCCCCCCCCCCCCCCCCACCCCAACCTAAAATCCTGGATCCGCCCCTTTCTGTTATGGCTCAAATATACATACAGATGGCAACATTTTTCCCTATGAGACCATGTTTCAAATGAGAACTTATTAAAAAGATAATGGCCTCTTAAAATCCGACTTTTTGAAGGCTATTAAGTTATTAACTTTTATCTGGATGATATTTCAGTTATGGTGTCGTTGGGCAAATGTTATCATTTACATGTACCTGAAAGTCTGTGCCATAACAGCAAAGATCTTAAAATCCAAAGTTTATATTTACATCACTGAAAATTGATACGTTTTGGGGTATAATACCCATAAATGGCTATAATACTCCTAAATGAGGATCATCCCCAACTTGTTTATCTGTTTATTTGTATACAAGATTATCCGCACATGCCAGCATACAACAAATTTACCTGTAAATGCTCTCTTCCATTTTAAGACCGTAAGTCAAGAAATGAAAATTTTGACATGGGAATACATGTATGTTGGTGCCAGAAATATCGTTAGCAGCGGTATTTTATCACCAGATGAAATAAAAAAAATCGCAATAGTGACATTGGCAAAGCCCAACACGGTCCCTGGCCTTAAACACTGTGGTCCAGTGTACATCTTATTAGGCATTAAATTTATGGACAGGAAGTATTTCAAGATTGTAAACACTCTGCCCACATTTTTTTCAAATTCAAGAATAATGTAAGCTAATATAGAAGAAAATAAGTATAAAATTCTTTTATTTTACAAGTCCATCGAGAATAATAGTCATTTTAAATAAAACAACTGCCAACATGTATACACACAGTCACAGTACCACTGAAATCAGCTGATCACAGGAAATGACCGGGATGATTTTAGTTTGATTTCAATATCCCCCACCCAACTCCCACTACCTGCAGCATCAGAAGACTCGCCTGATGAGTTATCGCCGTGTCTCCGGGATCCTAGACACCCTCCCATAGCCCTCTGGGCGGGTACTAGGTCCGAAATGTATTAAATAACGAGGATGCTGTTTGTTGATGATTTTCTGTCGTGTGAATAGCAAGACGAGTTTTGATTGGATGAAATTAAAGGTTCATTCCAGGTTCATTTAACTCGAAATTCCTATTCAGCTTTAAAGGGAACTATCGTTGAATCCCTACACAAGTATGGCTTAAAATCTGTCGTTTCTTTTCTTATATTTTAAAGCTGTATTTTTTTCGATCGGAAGAAAAAAAAAACAAAAACAAAAATGCTGACGGACTGTTTCGGAAAACAGAGATAAGTCTAAATTAAAGTATTGATTCCGTGTTCGTCTTCTAATTCACATGCAATTTCATTTAAATTCGAAGTTTTATTTAAAGCCTAGACCGACTCCTATACTTTGATTGAGCGTAGCGTTGAATACAAGCGGATTCCAATTTATAGAATGATAAATTATTAGAGAACAATGACACAATCCTCATACAAGAACATGTTTCAATTTCAAATACACGGAATTAATGAGATAAACACTCATAAATTTTGAAGCCGGGAAAAGCAGCTGATAAGTACAATAACATACATCCAGGCTAAGTGCCTAGGAGATATGGGGGAGTTGCAGTTATATGGAAAAAGAAATTGATCATCTCGTAAAATCAATTGAAGATGGTGGCGAGCGTATACAATCATGTAGAATTTGCAGATACTGCATGTCAAAGCCATTGTTAATAATCTCAATATATATCCCGACACAAGCTTGTCATGATTTGGATGAATTTAAAAAATGAATTGATCAAATTTTCGAAATTGTACAAAAATATACAAACACTCATGATATCTTAATCGGGGGAGATTCAAATGAAGATTTAAACAAAACCACTAAGAATCAAAGAACTGAATATCTCATTTATCTGACCATTACCCAATTGCTGTGTCTTGTGAAACCAATCTACAAACAAGACAAAACCTAAACATCAGTACAACTAAACCGAAAATCAAATGGGACAAGGTAGATAAAGAAGAATATAAGAATCTAGTTAATCAGAAGCTAGAAAACATGAATAGGCAGATAATATGTCCTCTGAAGAACAATGATATCGAAACATCCATTACCACAATTAGTAACATCTTAGATAAAAGTGCAAGTAAATGTCTACCAATTAGGCAGAAAAAAAGAAAGATGGGAAATTTACAAATTTGGAACCATGATGAGGGTGGTTTTTAACGACCTTGACTTCCCATGAGGGTCTTGCACGGTCGGCTTTTGGAACCAGGAGATATCCATAGCTTATAAAGAAATGAAAAGGGCTTACAATGGTATAGAGCCGGAAAACCATCATGCAATCACAATTCAATATCTGAGAAAAAAAGAGAATTAACTAAATTTTCGTAGGGTTTACCGCACAGAACTAGCAATGAAAAATTCACAACTTAAAGAGAAAGTAATGAATACAAGAACTAAGGATACCAAATTATTTCATATGCTCATAAACAAACCGAGAAAATCACTACTAAGACCTTCATGTTGATGATGAAATATTAACTGGCGAAGACAATATCACGGAAGGCTTTAGAAACAACAATTTTTCAAATTTAGCAGTCCCTACCAAAGAAAAAGCTACACACTTTGGAATTCAAAGATCAAAGTCCAAAAAGGAATCTTTAGATAATACAACAACCAGTACGGTTTTCCAAGCAAACTATCAATGAACACATCAAAAAAGCAAGAAGAACAGTATATAGTCTGATGGCTGCAGGATTTCACGGAAACAATGGTTTAGATCCAAGCACTTGTATTAAAATTATGAAAACATATGTCTTACCAACATTACTTTATGTACTGGAGATACTGATACCAACCAAAGTAAATATTGATAAATTGGAACTATTCACCAAACAATTGCTTAAACAAATATTGTCCCTAGCGCAAAATGTTCCTGATGTTGTACCATACATTATCTCTGGAATGATACCAATTAAAAGACAAATACATATCAAAATTTTAAGCTACTTCTACAGTATATGTTTACTTCCAGAGGAATCAACTGAAAAACAAATAGCCAGAAGACAATTTGCTGTCAAAGACCAAAATAGTTACAGTTGGTTCATAGAAGTAAAGAAAATTATTTGGAAATATGATCTTCCGGAAATATACCTTCTTTTGGACACTCCATATACCAAAATTCAGTGGAAAAATCTAATCTATAATAATATAAATACATATTGGAAAAATTACTTATTAGATATCTCCAAGCTATATAGAAAAATAAATATAAAATATTTAAATGTTGACGAATACAATCCGATAAAGAATTTCAGTGTCGCAGATATATGTATAACATTCATAGAGCAAAATATAGGATGCTGTCTGTTATGAAAAACAGGAAACGATAGGGTCTCTAAAATGAAAATGCCTCCTAATTTATCATATATCCCTTTAGTAATGCTAAATTTTTAACTATACCCTATTCTAGATTTTAATATTGAATGTCATTTTTTAAATCATAATAGTATCACGCCACTATTTGATTAACATATTGAAAAGAACAGTAAAGTTTTATTGGTCAGCATTTAACCTTTGACATGTGTCATAGCCTAAAAATGTTACAAATCATGTATAGCAACGCCTTACTCATTAACATATTTAATCTACTAAAAGCTACGCTAATTCGTAAAAGCATGCTATATACGATTATGATATCATATAATGCGACTTATTACAATATTATTTTAGTTGCCATGAACAACACAACGGGTGCCAATAGTTGAGCAGGAACTGATTACCCTTCCGGAGCATATGAGTTCATCCATGTGTTTGTATTGTAGACTGTTGTTTGTTCGTTTCGTCTTTTCTATTTGCCATGACGTTGTCTGTTTTTTCTTCTACTTATAATTATTGATTGCCCTTTTGGCATTTCATTTATCTAATCACAATCGAAAAGAGAGTAAAAACATCAGAAGACTTCTTCAGGTCAACATATAATTTTTATGTATATATATATATTTTTATACAGATATTTTTAGACAGATATATACAGAACATGCCAAGCTCGTAATCGCCCAGAGTCCAGAAAATCTGTGAAGAGATCTACAAGAGACTGTAAAAGATCTTATGTCTAATAAGCCCCATTTAAAACCTTTTAAATATATAATTAAAATTCGACATCACTAATTTAAGCAAGAGGATCCCAGGAGCCTATTTCGATCATCTGGCACTTTTCCAAAAATAAATTGATACAATGCAACAAGATTATTTGGGGATATAGGGGGTAGATATATCTTGACATTCTGAGCATTTTTGTACCGTCAAATTTTCTTTATCTATTATGTTTTTCAAGACATAAGCCAATAAATACAGTTACCCTTTTGTTCTTTTTCTAACCATGGCGGCAATGTTTGATGACCGACCGACCAAAAAAAAACCACAAAATTTATACTACGTACCGAAGGATACTTCACCCCAAGTTTTGTTGAAATTGTATCAGGAGTTTAAGAGAAGTAAAAAGGATATGCCAAACACAAAAAGTAGTTAAAAATAGTCGTTTTACATTTTGGTGTTATAGTTTTCAAGATAATGAGAAAAATACTAATTAAAATTAAATCATAAATTGTTTTTTTACGAACAATAATTCCTTAAGGATTCATTCAAGTTGAATGGTTTCGGTTATTTTGGCATTTTTGTAGATCATCTATTAGTGATCATTTTTGTAGATCATCTATTGGTGATCATTTCTGCATTTGACAGTTTCTATCACCACATATAGGTTTTAGGCTAATAGACAGAAACCTGAAATGTATCCAAAAAATCATCATTTGAGGGCAGTAGGTCCTTACGGAGTACCCTGCTAGATTTTCACAATCTATCATGGTTTCAAGATATAAGATATCTATAAATGCACTTTACCCATATGTTCCTTTTTTAGCCATGGCAGCTATGTGTTGACTGACCGTGAAAAACACAACTTGATACCAGATACCATAAGATTATTCACCCCACGTTTGTTGAAATTGGTTCAGTAGTTTTAGAGAAGATCTTTGAAAAAATTAACAACGACGACGGACGACGGACGAGGACGGACGACAGACGATCACGGACGCTAAGTGATGGCAATAGATCACGTGGCCTTATCGCCAGATGAGAAAAAAGAAAGGCAATTGATACCAAAGGGATATTCAAACTCATCAGTCGAAAACAAATTGACAATGCCGCCATGGCATTTAAACGAAAAACGACGAAAAAACAAACATCAGTACACAAAATAGAAATCTAAACACTGAGCAACACGAACCTCGCCAAATACCGGGAGTGATCTCATCTGCTCCGGAAGGGTAAGCCGATCCTGCTCAACATGTGGCACCCGTCGTGTTGCGCATGTAAGTACAAACCCGGTGATAGGTCTAATTCGGTAGGTCACATTCGAGGAAAAGAGGACGGAGTTGTGGTTAAGACAATTGAAACATATCCGTCGTCATAATTATGTGAAACAAATATTCCATAACGGTCAACCAACTCATAATGGTGTCCGTAAATCTTTCGAAAGGATGATTTCAACTTCACCATTTGGAACTCTTAGTTTAATAGCTTCCTTGTAAGCAGCAACCCTATATCAAGGAAAATCATGATAGGAAATGCAAGCTCTGAAATATCGTATCAACTGGGAGATATATAATCCATATGCTGCCTGCTTGAATGTTGCTACATAGAAATGGAAAGTTCACAATCGGGATGATGAAGTCATCTCTTTTGTCGTAAAGTTTTGTTCTCAACCGATACTAAATTTCAAGATGTAAGTCAAGATATAGGGCAGACTTAACTGTATCAATTGTATCTTTCATTTCAAGTTCGCTGGGATAGATGCGTTGAACAAAGTGACCAAACTTGGAATTATTAAAAAATCGAGATCACTGGTACAATCGTTATAATTTGTATTATATTTCGTTATCACGGATTAAATTCATAATAACGAATATGAGAAATAAGTTATCACAGACTTTTGTAATTTGTGATCACACATTGCCTTTATTGATAATCTTAAAAAAAACTGTTCATGGATTGAAATCGTTATCACAAATTATATAGTTCGTTACAATGATCAATAATTCATTTTCCAGATTAGATTCGTGATAACGACTACATAAGATTCGTTATCAAATATTTGTGTGCTTCGTTACACGAATTAAATCTATTACACAAATTAAATCTGTTATCACAAATCAAAAT